ATTGTTTCAATTCAGTTTCAGGACATAGAAAATTTCATTATATTCTAGTCATGATAACGTTTTTTGATTTCAGTCTGCTACAAGCGGCTGTGGGCTTGAAGTTGTTGGGCCATGTTCTTCGCACAGAGGCCGACGAAAAGCGTCCTTTTGTAGCCGTTGTTTTGAACTTCGACTATTTTTTTGTCGTTTTGAAATCTTTAAAATTAACAAATTTAATAGTCAAAGTCAGAAGTTTGTACTTCTTTTCATTCTTCTACAAAAAAATGCAAATTTTTCCTGATTTTTGCCCAATATCAGGGTGTCTCTTCATTTCAAAGGTTTTAAGTAAATTCAATAAAAATAATAAATATAAACTAATACATTTGTTTTTAATTTTATTTTTCATTTTTTGCAAATGAAATTTAAAATTCTAAATTAAGTGAAGTTGTCAAGATAAAAAGATTAAAGAAAGCTTGCAAAAAATATTTTTGACCAAGGTTGTCAGCAGTTTTTTACCCAAAACCCACAAGTTGCACATGTACATATTATTAGATCGTTAACAGATTATGTTAGATATATAAATGAAATTCACCATATTAAAATTTTCAATTAAAAAAAATTACAATATAAAAATCAAGAATTTAATTTCTTGTTTTCTTCCCAGAAACATAAAAACTTAATACCGAAAATATTTTTACCATTAATCAAAATATATGTACAATAGAGTTTTAAAAAATGGGCATCAAAGGTCTTCACAAAAACCACACTTCAAAAATCTTCACTATATTTGCGGCAAGAGTAACTTTACTTTGAGCATTACGAAATTTACTGAATCTGTTAGTGTTGCATACCAATTGCTTTAAAAGGTATTTTAATTTAAATTACAAGAAATAAATATATTAAGGTGGTCATTACCTGAGTGAGGTGTGTTGAAAAAATAGGGAGAATTTTGAAATAACTCAGGCCTTGTGATTTTTTTTTTGACTACATAAAAAATATGCAAAATAAAATTATATACAATTCCCAAAGATAATTACAAATTTTTATATTGGTGCATATTTAATGTAGAGTCGATGGTAAAATTTGTTTTATTTTTCATTTACCACCGGCCTTCGTTTCTAGGCCATATTAATTTTTCTGAGTCACTAAATAAAAAATAAAAATAAAATGCATTTTTTTGGAAAATTAGCATACGGATTTGAGTATAAAATGAAAATGTTTGTGCAGCATTACATAGTAGTAAGGATCACATATAGTTAAAAAATATATGTGATGCAAATAAAGTTGCTTATTTACACACAAAAAAAATAATTTGGGTTCGAAAGCATTTCACTTATATACATTACTTTCACCTTCTGGTCAATTTCAATTATCCATAAATTTTTTTGTAAAATACGAATTTATTCGTTTTATATTGACGAATAATAAAATTCAGCATTTCTATGGGGAAAGAGAATAAAAGTAAGCAAGAGAATGCCTTCTTTACAACTTGATTTTACAATGTCAATTTCTCTTTAATAACCATAATATTTTTATATGAAATCATAAATATGATTTTTTTATTATTGCTTGACATTCATGCATACATTTTTTAATGTCATATATCTCTATACAAATATATTTTTTCTTATTTTATTATTATTTTATTATTATTCATCAATATTCAATACCCTTTGAAACATATCTATAAATCTGTACTTGGATTCGAAACAGATTATATTTATACACACACATATATGCATACATACATATTTGGTGATATAAAATATCAATGGAAAATGCAAAATATTTATTGCTGCATCAAATCACTGCTAAGTATTTATTTCAGATTATGAATATTAAGTTCTTCGTTAATACCACAGAAGATATTTTTGCTAGTCAAGCGTATATACATATGTATATATGCCCACATATATGTTAAAATATTTATCAAAGAAGAATACTCAAATAAATTATTTTTAGATATTCACATAACTAAGTATGAAAGCATAAGGTTTACGTATGTTAATATTGCCTGTTAAAAGTTTATGGAAGGTTGAGAGAAATATTCACATTCATTGGCAGCCCAGAAAGGATGTGCAAATTTTTTTTTGCAACTCTTTTTTCAAAATAACTGCATATTTTGAAATCAATTTCCAAATCAAGCGCAGTGGTAAGGAGTTCACATATGCACATATACATACTTGTATAATCCACTTGAACTTAAGAGCTAAGTAAAATATCTTTATTTGTTTTATTTAATACGCTTGATATATTTCCCAACGCCTTAACCCAAAACTGCAATCGATTCGGTTAAAATATATGGAATTTTATCGTTACAGCAGTTACTAATTAATTTTTTTTTAATTTCTGCCCGAAACACAATGTTAAATCGTCCACAGATTACGTTGAATCATTAACAGATAATGTTAAACGTATAAATTGAAGTGAAGCCATTTTAAACTTAACGATTGCAACAGTCACTATTTAATTTCATTTCAATAACATGACGCCGAAACGAAACAAAGTCATTTCGTTGATATTTTTCGTATTAACGAAACAAAATGTTAACATCTCTTTAGTTAAGCATGTCTGGTTAGTATACAATAAAATGATGCTGTTAGAAAAAAGTATTAAGATGTAAATAAAAATATATTAGTAACTGGCTGAAGAGATAGGAAGCTAGTCTGTTGACTGTACTCCAGCTTATCTCATTCCTTGCCCATACGCCATATCATAATAAAGCTTACACAGTTAACTAAATATTTCGCAAATAATCGATGTGTGTGAGTGTGGGTATGGAAATAAATTTGCTACCCATTTGGCTTTGCTTATTATCGCATAGGCTGTTTATGAAGATTACGTGATAAAAGCATAGATTCAGAAGATTTTTTTCAAAAAAAAATGTTTTAAGTATTATTTCTCGGCACATTTGTGGTTGATTAAAATCATTTACCACATTGCAATTGGACTACACGTATTTGCAGCTTACTTGGTTTCTGCTTCCTTATAATTAACATTAATTAGAGTTCTTTTCTATTAACGACCAATACTATATCTTGACAATGGCTTGCTTACAGTGGTATGCTCATATTCATGCGAGTTGCTAATAAGAATTTTCTAGAGAAAGTCAGTATTAATCAGCTTCATACAAGTTAAATACTAGTCCATTAATGTTTGGTGAATATCTACTTTGTAGAAATAGAAAAATCGTTTATCTGAACTATAATTTGAAGGTTCAGCTTAATATATATATGTATGTAAAATACGTTACAAATATACGTGTTTTTATACCTGAAATGTACAAACCAGACTCAATATAAAAGTTATAACTTCTTCAAAACTAATTTTTATTGCTCTTTGTTGATTAGTTGGGAGTTGTTGTTGAAAACCTGACTATTAAATGTGGTTGAGTACCCCTATTTAATCCATTAAAATTGATAAATTGTTATATTTCCATCAACTAAGTTATGACATTATCCGCAAGCCATGAAGTAGTGGTGTCTTCGTAAGATACGACGTATCTATTGGCTTAAGAGCAAACAAAAAGTGCTGCCTTCTGCATTGCTGATTTATCTCGACCAAGTTTTTGATGTTGATATTTCAGCTATATGATTTTTTATCGAACGGGTTTTATGCTCTAGCCAATATTTGAAAGTGCTGAGTACCACGAATAGTTTTCAGATATTATTCGGCGACGCAACAACGATTTGTTATTTGGGTTCTTACGTATTCTCCCATAATTACATTTTCTGTTGAAACCCTGACGGTTTTCCCAATTTCCAGCTCCAGCAATGCCCATGATTTCTACTTGAGAGACGGAATTGTAATCACAGAGCCTGGTACTTGCTCTCCTAACTCTCTCACAGTTAGGAGAGCCCTCTAAATCAAAATAAATATCTTCACTATTGCCGTTACCCTTGTATTATGCTCATTCTACGCTGCTCAGAAGCCAGTACGGGCTTGCAACTGATAAACAATTTCCCCTTTCATTAGCATTGTTTTAAACATCACTAGTAAATTTATTTTCCTAATGTTCCATTGCGCTAGCTTCCTCTCTGTTAAGACAATCTTAGTTCAAACTATCCATCGGGTGAAAAAGACTGATAAACATTTTTCAAGCATTATGCCTATGTTGAATTGCCTCATTATTCAGGTCATTTGGTTACCACAGCTAACCTAGCAGAAACCAAGCCTGTCGACACAACTTTTATGCACATTTTTTCTTGCCGCTTGACCAGAAGTGGCTGCAACTGCGATTTCAGTTTTCCTCAGTACCCACTGGTTGAGCAAGTACGCCAATACTGCGCTGTATGCATTAGTTCATAAACAACCTCGAAGCTATTTCGGGAAAATTTTTTGTGGAATTTTCCTGCATTTGTGGAAGTTAGTTCTTCAGTTTTTTGTAATTTTCTTCAAGGTTAACTTTGTTTTGAATATTTAATGAAAAAAAATCATAGTACAAAATAAAAACAGCTGACCCTACATACTGAAGTAATCAATTAGGAGAGTATTGAAGTAGACTTTAAGGAAACAGTTGCAGTTCCAGATGGTTTTTGTTCAGAAAAACTCAGCATGAAAATATAAATAACGTTAGAAACGAACCTGTGGTGGATCAGTTTTGGATTTTATATTAGATTAAAAAACATTTGCCGATGAATCAATTTTTTTAATTACAAACTTATTTTCATTTATAAAAAGAATTTAATTTCTGCAAATATTATATAACGAATTAGATTAAACTTAAATTTGTTTTTCGAAAATGCGATAACTTGTTTATATTTTCCTCTTAGCGTTTTTTTTTGTTTCAATAAATTAATTTTAAACTCTTATGAACGCCCAGTATATATGTATTATATATACAAATGTATTTACAAAGTAATACAAACTTTTAAAATGCATTACAGTCCAAGTATTTACACATGTGCAATATTACAGCACTTCAAAATGAATATAATTCCTGCTATTTAACTTATCTTATTGTTCATACTCTACTTAACCTCATTTTCCATTCTCTTCTGCTCTTCCATTTCAACTTACAGTGACCAAATTCATACGTATTGGCATCGCCGATAAGAACGACAATCCACCCTATTTCGATAAGTCGCTCTATGAAGCGGAAGTGGACGAAAACGAAGATATCCAACATACTGTGCTGACCGTTACAGCCAAAGATCACGATGAATGTAAGTACATACTTAAGTACGAGTACAAGTGAGTGAGTGGGTAAGTAAGCAATATGCGCAATTATACTCAGCAGCGGCTACTTTATACGAGCTGAGGAATGAATTTATTACAAAAGTACTGTATATTTACTATGTATGTGTGTAATGTAGAAATATGCACATGTGGCATACTGAAACGAAAAAGTTATCTTAAAAGAAAAATTGCTATAAAAATATTATTTCTTTTGCCATTTTTATCTTTGGACTCATTTAAATTCGCGCGTGTTGCATTTCGCATCCGAGCTGAATTCATTCGACAAAAAAAAAATAGTATATATATTGTATATATGTATGTACATTTATATGAGGAATTGGGCGCTGCTGTGCTTTCAGCTGTAAACATTGTAATTTCAATGACAATTACAATGTACTGGAAACATATTCCCTTCAAGTATATGTATAAACCAGTAGCTGTGCGCAATGCTCTCGCTCTCGCTCTCTTCACTGTCAAATGAGTATTAAAATTTCAAATGAAATTAAATATGTCAAAAATAAACAACAAAAAACTTGCTTTCACTTTTTCTATTACATACTGATGTGCATTTAATATAATATTTCTATACGTACAGCGTCACGTATACGTTACGAAATTACAAGCGGCAACATTGGTGGTGCTTTTGCTGTTAAAAATATGACTGGTGCCATTTATGTAGCGGGTGCGCTGGATTATGAAACACGACGAAGGGTAAGTTGGCGTGTGCTAAATTAAATAATTATTATTTATAAGAATTTATAAACGAAAATGTTATTTTCCATTTTTCGTGGAAATTTTTAAGCAAAATTAAATTGGGTTAAGTTATATGAAATATTTCCTTCAAACCAGTCACTAAAAGCTCGCCCGTTAAGCCATTATCAGTGCTATTATAATGAGTAATAAAGTATTAAACTGCAAAAGAATTAAAAACATTATTATCATATTAAATAATAATGAAGTTTAATAGAAAATTTACTATTGAGATGATGCATTTCACGGCATAAGTCAGTTGTAATAAAATAAAAATTTTTATTCAAATTGGGTTCTCATCATTAACTTTCACTGCAATAGATTTTATTGAAATAAAAGAACAAAAATAAAAATATAAAAAAGAAACAAAATTTAACATTGTTTTCAATCTATTAGGTCCAGTAAAAAGTTCATTCGGTTTTTTATTGATTTTTCATACTATGATAACTTTGTGTACATTTGTCCAATTTATGTCAAATAAGCGCCGTTTTGTTCGTAACGAGATGCCAACTTCATTATACGCCACTTAGGCTGCGTAGCTATTGGCAAGAAACTCGGAGAGCTAATTTTCACAAGCCTCTCCTGAGGCCAACTTCTCACCATTAAACGTGTTCGCAATGGACAGGAAAAGTTGGTAATCACTTGGTGCCAGTCCGGTCTTCTGGCTCATTTTTAGTTCCTTAACAACTAAATTCGTGCTCACGTGACGGTCTGTTTCCATTATTTCAATGATTTTATCGCAATTTTCGACGACAGGGCCTCTGGGCGCGTGGTGCGTCTTTGACATCGAAATTACCAGAACAGAAACTAGCAAATCACTTATGTGGTACACGTTCGTGTACTGTAAGGGCCCATAAACTATATTAGTTATTTCAACCGCTTTGGCTGCTTTTTCGTCTTGATCGAAGAAAAACTGTAAAATATAGCGAATTTTCTCTTAGCTGCTGTTCATCTTTGACGGGCGCTCACAACCTACTGAGTCGATCAATCGAAAAACTTTCGAAAACAAACTTTTAGCGCAAATAACCACGTTTTCAGCACCGTATAGTATGACATGATGCGACACGTCATACTAGTATTATGGACAATAACGCCATCTCTTAGATAAAAACCGAACGAACTTTGAAGCTGTCGAAGTTCTAAATATTTTGGCTTAAACACCTGTTTTATTTTTTCAAACTGTTCCCACATATGTGTGTAAGCCTTCTTTCATGAAGTTGCTTACTCGTTCAAATGCGGAGAGAAATCATCTCGTAACTACTTTATTGAAATACAAAATATGAGAAATATTTTTGCCCACAAGGGCATGCAAAAATAAATACAGCAACAAATGCAACAGCTCGCCTCTAAACGGTCGTTTGTTCGCTACACATTGGATACTTGGTCTAAGACCGGAAGTCGTGAGCGGCAGAAGAATCGTTTCTGACAAATCGGGTTTTTCTTGGTCGTGTTGAGATAATATTCCCAGCCTCAGTTCGAAAAGGGCGAGGTAATGAGAGAGAGAGATCAACAGAGCTAGCTGCAGCTAAAATTAGCTCCTACTCTCATCTCTTTCAGATGAACTTGTTTCACTATTTTCCAAAATATCTTCAATATTTGAATTCGATATATCCGATAAATTTCAGTTGTAACATTCCCCTTTTTAAATTACCAAACTTAATTAAGTTATTTCTCGAAATTTGTAAAGTTTAAAATTGCATTTCAGGAAATATTTACGACACATACCAACCACATTATAAGGACAAAACTTGTAAATTTATATGTGTCAGGTCTATAATTGTCAAAAGTAAACACATATTAGAAAAGTTCACAAAACAATACAAACCATAATTTCACACGTTAACACACATACATATGTATCACAAATATTGAACACTTCTCACCTGTAAAATTTAAACAATAAGTCATAGTGTCGTTCAAATGATTATTAAAGCAATTTCATAACTTTTAATTGCTTTCCAAGAAACTTTCTATATTAAAACACTAGTTGTAGCAGGTCAAAAGTTTAAATGCAAACATACATATGCTTACGTACGCATACATAAGTGTACTCTATGAAAAATTTTTTTTTTTTTTTTTTTTGAATTTATTGTGTTTGACAAAATGAAAAGGCATACCGAAGTTAACCAATCATGATGAGAGCTGAAAACACTCTTTGTTTTACAAAATACATATGTACATGGGTATATGCATATGCGTGCATTTAAATGTGTATATTGATTTTCAACTAAAACCTGAAAAAGCTGTTCAATAAAAAGAGCTTTCTCGATTATTTAACGAAATATACACACGAGGTCCAAATGAAATTTGGAGATGCATACGAAATATTCCGCTGCAGATCATTGCGGTGTGAGCCGACAAATACGAAAATATACCATACACATACATGCATAGAAGTTTATCAATAGAGTTTAGCCTTTTGTCATTTTTTCATTTTTATTATACAGTGGTATACATTAGGCGGGGTCAGTCTTTTAATTTTTTTTTTTTTTTTGGCAAAAACACATAGTAAAAAAATTTTTATTCTATTTTCGTAATTGCCAGTTATTGCTTAGATAAATAATTTTTGTTTTAAATCCTTCAACTTCGGTTGAAATATTCAGCAACCTCATAACACTAATATGTAGATTATGTCCAAAATATACCGTAATCATATCACTGGAAAAGCTTCAAAGTGAACTGGAAATCGCCTTTTAAGTTTGAGAGAATACTCTCTGCATTTTCTGAATCTCACAAAACAGTTCGTATTATTTTAAAACGAATATTTTGTATAGCTACGAAAGATCCAAACTTTTTTCAGTTATTCCGACCGCGTTAAGGTCAATCAAGATGCGAGTTAATGCTGGCAGTTGTCTTACATTATGGTTGTGTAATTGGGATTCTTGCGGAAAGATCCGGTAGTAAATTAAGCGTACTACCTGAGAGAGAAAATTCATTGAAAATACCAAATTTGTGCGTTAGAAGAGTGGTTAGCATTAGGTACTGTCAATCGAAACCAGTGTTCGAGTTCTGGTCCGATCAACCTACAAGAATTATAAAAAATTAATTTAATTGAAAAAATTAAGTTAGCTTCCCTAATTACGGTCGCTCCACGGCAGGCAATGTCAATCCATCCGAATGTATTAATGAAGTAAAAGCTCCTCAAAGCGATTTATTTGAGTAAGGAAAAAAGCGGGAAAGACTATTGGAGAGGAGTAAAAATGTGTTGTATTGAAATTGAAGAAAAGGTGAAACACATCCCGTCTTGAATCTAAAAAGAAAGAAAGAAATCGGGAGGTTCTAAAAAATTATTTACGAAAAAATACACATATTTGAAAAGGAGAAGAGGAGGATGAAGGGTATGAACATTGTTCAGAATATCAGAATGGAAGATATGAGGATCTCAGTGAGAAAGAGTATGAAATAGTTGCAGCAAGGCACGATGAGTTTTTAAAATCATAACTCCTCATTAAAGGTGGTATTTATAACCGAAAAATCCGCTAAAATAGCATTTAACCCTCGATCCAGCCCGAAAAGAAGCAGGAGTGAGGTTAACAGGAGATACCATAATTTCATTAATATCCAACCAAACCTTTTTTTTATGCCAAATCGTATGATAGAGACGACAAGTACTTTCTGCAACTTTGGAAAACTCATGCCAACTTATGCCAGAAGAATTTGAAAATACTACGAACAGTAAATCCACTTTTACGGAACTAATTATATATACATATGTATATATATACATGTATGAAGATAGAACGCTGCATTGATTATTACTTGGGTGAATGATCTCATCAGATTTCTGTTGTCACTGGTGTTAAGTTCGTTTTCGAAAAACCAAAAAAAAAAATCAGTGGAATATGAAGGAAAAAATTCAACAGAGTTTTATATGCGACTAAACTCGAATTTTTAGTGTCTGCATTTGATATCTGTCCAGAAAAAATTTAACTAATCACTGAAGAGAGTTCTCAGAAATGGGTCTTAATGGGATTTCAGTTAATAGAAACAGATAAAAAATCGTTTTCAAAAAAGAAACATATGCTTCTTCCATAATTCCATGCTTGAGGATTTTATTTTCTTAGAAAATCCAAAGTAACACCTATTGGCAGGAGGAATCTGCGTTGGATTTCAAAGCTCAAGCTGTTATTAGTGTTAATGCTGATCCCTGAGTAGACGAAATTGTCTATGAGTTTTTTTTTTCTTCTACTTTTCGAGAATCACTGAACGTAAATCGTCGACGAAACTAAGTACTGAAAGGGTAGCTAAACCAATTGAGACTTTTTGTGCAAAATAACCTTTAGGTAATTACTTTTCCTTAGCTGAAATTGAGTCACCTTAGCTGTTGATCACGTACATACATACATATGTATGAAGGAATACTTGTATGAGTTGATTGAGTAAAGTTTTCTCGAACCAAGTGATAATTGAATTGCCATACCACATGGCAGCAATGACGTATACATTCCTATACATACATGGCACATATACATATGTTATACAAATAAATTCTCTGCAAAATACAACACAAAGAATCTTTCCCATGAAAATTTCGCAAACGTGTCCCACTAAAACAAAAGTGAATATAAAACAATTGTAGTAAAAACGTGACACACTTTTACTTCTCTCCAACACCACAAAAACATTGGTGGAACGAAAATTGTGAAAAAAAACATTGAACAAAAACAAAGAACATTTATATGCGTACACAAATAAATTGTCGATTTCAGCCACACCCCACAAATTCAATATAACACAACACATACACGTACAACATACAACACATACACGTACAACACATTTCACTTCGTCAACTGGTACTAGTTCAAGTACATTGCATTTCATTTTTATTCGTTTGGCTTTATGTATGGATGTATGTACACATAGACATACAAAGCAAGTATGCAACCGCGTGGTCAATTTCTTTCAGCAGTTTATTTCGTTTCTCATTCACACACACATTAGGGCTTGCTCATGTGTGTATGTATGTGTGTGTGCGTGGATGTAGGAGAGTTTTTGTAGCATCCCAAAAGTGTCTGTCTGGAAATATTCACTCGTACAATTGTAATTTATAGCAGGTAATATATTATGCATCAACCTAAAGTGAGCAAGTAGTGACAACAGCCATTGTGACGATCATCGGTGGTGTTAGCAAGCGAAAATGACAGTGAGACTGAGTGGAAGGATGGAATGAAAGTCATTTATTTCAATAGCTCCAAAATTTGGAAGACAAATTTTATAAAAAAAAAGGTAAAAGTATTGTAATGCTGTTGACGGTGTTGACCGCTGAATCGAGTCATAGACTCGTGGACTCTGTTTTTTTTTCAATAAATATTCTTTGATTCGTTGGAATTTCCAACAAAATCCACACACCACTTTGGCCACAACTTTAAGTTCAACTATAATCGGCCGATCCATTTTGTATGAGGAGCCTTTATTTCATGCCACAAATACATTGCAGGACCTGACGTAAACTGTCGAGGGGAGATTGCCATTTGAAAAATTAATTTTCTTTAATTCTGGATATTAGCTTTTGCAGAGCTCAAGATCTGGGGTTCCAAATGGTAGTACACATTGTTCATCACTCAGTTTTTGCGTCTGCCAACCATTCAGATCATAGATGTTAAACTTTTGAAAAATTTCCTCACATAATGCCATGAAATGTGGCATTTTCTGGAGTAAGCCTCAGTTCTTCAATGAATTGTCTTTTACGTCTTCCACCGACTGAAAACTGGTAACCAAAAAGGGTATTTGGAATTTTAATACAAAAAAGCCAGGTGGAACATTTACCTCATGTGGGGATTTTTCTGTGCTGTTTATGAAATTTTTGACAAAAAAAATCGTTCACAAATATAGGCAAGTGAGATGGTCTTCTATAGTAGTAAAAAATCCACTAGTTTTTCTTCCATAAATCTGTCTCTTATATGTACAACACTTATTTGCGGCCTAACCTTCTGACAAAATTTCCGGGTGCAACGTTAAGACATTTGAAAATTGTGCCTTCAGTGCACCTTACGTGATTGCGTATGTAAAGAAAGTTTAAAGCTCTATAAACTAGACGAACAACAAATGCACTTCAAACACAAAGATACATTGGAAAAGGTATAGATTTATTCGTGAGACAGAGGAAGCTCATCCCTTCCTTTCTCGAATTTATATTACGGTTTTCAGTAAGAATTTCCTTAATTTTAGCCATGTTAATTTCAGCTAAAGACGTTGATTGCCGACCAGAGCTAAGCAAATCACCTGCCATATGACTTTTTTTTTTAAAGAAAAAACAAAAACAGAAATTTTAAAGTGAATGGGTAATATTTACCATCATTCGAAACAACATTCTTTGACATTTATTTTTCGAAGATTATCTCCCTCAAATGTTGGTCTATTTGTTGAGTCCAATTTTTGATGGTTCGCTCGTTCATTTCAACTGGTAACTTGGCTCCAAGGCTCCAGTCGAGGCGGGATTGTCCACGTAGGCTTTAAACTTTACACATTTTCACAGAAAAAATTCTAACGGTGTGATATCACACTAAACGGTCATATATACATTCTTAAGCCATAAATACACCTCATCGCTAAAGGTTGGCTCGAAAAATTTGGATCTTCTTAGAGCTTTTCAAGAGCCCATAGAGCGCATTGAAGTCGCTTCGGTGGGTCAAGCATATCAGTTCTTGTACATCAGTCAGAGTTGCTGCGAATGGCACCAATTCGATTCTTCATAGTATTCGTGTACAATCGTAGCTACGGCTAACTATACGAGGTCAATTCGGTAGAATATTATCCAATAATGAATATTGGATTTCAAGGAGGGTAGGGATTTTGCGAATAGTGTGCTCAGTAGGCCGATTATGTTGACCATAAATTGAGTGAAGCGCGCGAAACACGTTATTTACAGAACGTGAATTTTCGTAATAAAGTTGAACGTTTTGTAAACGTTGTTCAGGTGTTAGTCTTTTCATCATGAAATGCCAAACAATGCTAAAATAAAATAACCCGACAACTTGATACGACTCACGCTTGATCTGTCGAAAGTCGAGAAAAGGCTATTGAAGAAAATTCCACGACTTGCATCTCTCGTTTTAATACAAAATAATTTTCATATGTGAACGATTAAAAAAACAGTTCAACTCCTTTTCTTTTGTCACATAGCTACCCTGACTGGGACCTAGGAAACCAGTGTTTACGAATTTCATACAAGTTTTGAATTTATTACAATATTTTTCTTTTACTTTTTTTCTTGTATTGGCTTCACAACGGGCGAGTTGCATGGAAAGTGGCTTGATTAATTGTGCCAACATTTTTTTGACAACTGAATTTATTGACAGTTTATACTTAAATGCCATGCAAAAATAATAAATTAAATGTAAAAACAATACCATTCATGAATCTACCATAAATAATAAATAAGTTGGAGATAATTATATAGATTGTATTTTAATGTAATTTTCCTGCCTTGTGATTTTAATTAATTATTTTATTATAGCTTATTTACAATATTTGATCAAATAAATTGTTGCGTCCATATTTACATACATATAATATAATATATTATATACATATAAAAATAAGTTTAAAGTTATTTATTTAAAATTGTTTAAAATACAACAAATAAATACATTATGTGTGTCTTCTAAAAGAAAAAATGCAAAAATATATTAAAGCAATATTTCAATATTTCTCACAATCTACTGCATCCAAACAAAATATACGCTTGTGCTACTTCGTAAATACATATATAGTATGAGCTACGTTTAGCTGCATCCGATAACTTGAAGGAGAACTACACGACCGTCATAATTCACGTTAAGGATGTCAACGATAATCCACCAGTTTTTGAACGACCCACTTATCGTACACAAATCACCGAAGAGGATGACCGCAATTTGCCGAAACGTGTGCTTCAGGTTATTGTCGACATATCCAAGATATACATACATGCACACTTATACACCTACAGTTTGAATTTATTAAAATTGATAGTTTTTTTTTATTCTAATTTGCTCAAAAATATAAAATTTTCATAGTTTACTGAGACTTTAGTGCCTCGTTTAGTGCGCACCATTTAAGCTTTAGTTGTTTTTTTTTGTACTTTATCGTTACGGTTAATGTAATTCTAAACAAGTTTAGCAATCTTGGATTACCATATTTTTTCGCATACTCGTATTTGCACGAAACTGTTTTTTTTTTTTTTGCCCTTAAGGTTTTGCTCCTAAATAATTTGCTTTTAGCTTTTGTTTGTTATAGTTGAAAATAATAAATTAATTCTAGTACTTTGCATGTTCCTCCTTCCGAATTTTTATATTTAAATGTTTGCTCCTTTTATGAGATTATATTAATACGAGAGGATTTATTCAAATTATTGGTCATTGAAGCGCTTTTTAGGCTTTTATCGATAGGCTTTTTATAAAGTTTTGTTTCGTTAGTAATAGACATTTTTCAACATTTTTGTATTCCAGCACTGCTTTTTATAACAAGAATATGTGATATTGAAAAAAATGTTATTATCAAAAAAGGATCTAGAATACAGCTAGAACCGAACATTAGATCTCTTTTGCTTTTTCTTGAGGCTCTCTCCGGTTTCTCCAACTAATAATAATAATAATTTTTTAATTCGCCCTCAATTGGCCCTGTCTTGTTCTTTTTACTCTAATCAAAATCAAAATTTGTTTTCATTTTTAAGGATTTCATGATTGCGAAAATATTATTCGACGCAAAATGCTAGCATAATTCTTTCACTAGTGCGTTTAGGTGGAGAGATAATTGAATAACGCTCCTCATCATGACCACAAATACATTGGGTAAATTTTCTTCTCATCACTCAATCTTACTTTCAAATCAAACTTTCCAATTTTTTTTTTTTTTTTTTTTAAATTTCAATTTCATTTGGAATTAAGCAGGTGACAGCACTTTAACCATATGCTACCCTGCCATCAATCGTTTGGCTTTTGAGTCATCTTCCCATTGCTAAGAATGAGAAGATTCAGTGGTAGAAAGAAACTGCAAATGTTGCATACAAAACGTGTGTTTTCAGAAGGAATTTGCAACAATTTAAAGGTTTTTGCAAGTGGGACTAAAAGAGTTACGACCAAAAGCATTGAAATAAAACTTAAAAACAAAATTACGATATATATTTTAAGATTACATTTCAATAGCTGCTTCCAGATGAAGATATTCTTCTGGCGTGAATGGATAAGATATCATTCTTATCTATATCAATCATATGGGCGGGGTATACTTCAAGCACTCCCAAAATCTTTACTCTCTGTCTCTATATATCTCGCTCTATCTTTATGCGGCTACAAAACTAATTGCAGTCCCTAATGTTTGGTTGCTAGCCATGTAAATATTTTCAGCCAAGAAAAAGCTAATGAGTTAGCTCAGAAGCTGCTCTAGACGAATCAAAAACGGAGTTAATACTCTGCCAACTAGTAATGGTTAGAAGAAAGTTTCATGTACAATTTGAACGCAAAGCTACGAACGGGTTAACAGGTGAATGGCTTAATGGCATAAAATTTGTTGACAGGTATATTGAGATCTTACGATAGTAATCAAAAGAGCACAGTAAAAGAATAGTTGGTACGAGGATTAAAATTTGTCGGGAAGCACTCCTGCCTACCTCAACTGTGTTCAGCGCCTAAATTTTGAAAATTTCTGCACCAAATCAATTCTCAGCAAACACCGCAGTAGATCAGTTACAAAGTGAACTTGTCGGTTACTGTATTCACCGAAAATCATTGTAGATAGTCAAGATTTGTTAGATTTGTTATTTATTCAGGGGTGTTACAGACACAGATTGTTGTCAGAGTCAGAAGTGAAATTTTTGTATCAGCAAATGTAGAAGTACAGTTGATTCGAATATCGGATTTGCTTATCTTCGAAAAAGTTAAAATCAAGTCGGTTTCATAACACCATTTTAAAGAGATATTGATTTCAAATTCCGATAAATAAGCAATTCTGTGTGGGTTTCTGTGATATAACACCCCCGATTGAGTAACAAACGAATTCTGATTAAATCATTTACAAATAAGTGTACAACATCGAAGGATTAGGGAAACCATCGGACTTATTGAGCGAAAATCTTTACATCAACAAGTTTGTGGGTAAAAGGTCTTTCACCGTTGTACTGACCAATACACACATTATATTTTCATTAGTATTAAAAAGAAATTTTTATTTTTTTTTAACTTTAAAAGCAAAATATATGAAACTATGTCAAAAATTAATTATACAATATTTTAATCACATATATTTATCATAATAAAGTGTAAATTTAATTAAGCTAGCATTTATCTGTCATCGAAATACCATCATATTAAAGCTTAAAGCGTAAATATGTCCACACCAACATTTTATGGCCTTTCACTTAATTTTATGTATGTTGTTATTGATTTTTTTTTATAATTTCAATTATATTCCATTTTTATTACAATTAAAGCAAATTTTTTCAAATATTTTATTGCTATTATTTTCTACTATTTTTGTTATTCTTGTTTTTATTTTCACGCTTTTTTAAAGTACGATTTAAAATTGGTTGCATCCGATAGTTTAAATGAGAATTCAACAACAATTGTGATTTATGTGCGCGATGTCAATGATTTGCCGCCCAGTTTTCCTCAAACATTGTATGAGCGCACGCTGAACGAGGAGCTGAAAGCACCGTTTACTATAATGAAGGTCTTGAAAGTTTCTATTAAAATTTTAACTACAAAAAAAAATTAATAATAATTGGTTTATGGTTTTGAAAAACAGTTTGTTTCTAACATTTTTTTAATGAATTAAATCATTTCGACTGTTGTATATAATAATTATCATTTCATTATCGCCGTGTATTAATTTTCATATTGTAAAAGATTTAACTTTGTGAAATATTTTCTATATAAACAAACATCATATTACTACAATTAGCTAAAGTAATTTAATAAACTAAACTATTTATTACGGGTTAAGGGTCGTAATTTATATTATGTATGTGTATACGTGTATTGTCGGTAATATGAGCCGCATATCTAACATAATTAACTATTGTAATTATTTGAAATCAATTGATAATTAATGAAATAACTTGAATTGGTGTGAAAACAGAATTTCCACAAAATAGCAGCGAACATTTCAGTATTCCACCGGTTATCATATTTCGAACTGCATATCTTAAACAAATGTAAATTACAATCGTTTGAGTAACTTTACAAAGTAATTAACTTTTACTAAATATATGTATGTATGCATATACAGGGATATCTATTTGGTGGTTTAAAAACCTGGACAGTGGTTTGAATCACCATTTCTATGGTAGGTTTTAACAATTTAATGCGTTTTGTGGTTGTTAAGCGACCGATTTTCATAAGTACCAGACTTTAAACTAAAACAAAACATGTTTGGATTGCCAATTAAGTCTGCACAAAGGTCGCAATACAGTCCGTACTTTTGAAACCACGAAATGAATAACCGTATATGTACATATGCCTTTATTTATAGCCTTTTGTGTAGAATTTGTAAATATGCAATTGTGGTAATTCTGCACACAGCTACATATTAATTAATATGTGCGGATCCATTGAATGCCATTTGCATTATTAGTATGCTGTTCTTTTTAGTTAATTATAATTTAATAAAATTTCATTTTGCATTTCTGATGTAAATACATTTCCAATCAACCACAGCATGCTCCAGATACATTATTAACATGAAATTTTCATATTTGCCCTTTTGTAAAACATTCGTGGTAAAGCCACATATTCTGCTGATGTGCCGTACTTAGCGGTAAATTTGTATGAGGAAGCTCGAAAATTAGTTGTAAAACTGTTTCATTTGAACTTTATCTTGTACACCTATATAAATAGATATTAATTGATTCGTAATGATTTATTCGTAATCAGTGTTTAATGAGATCTTAAATAATCAAAACCATCATCCAATTGGCGCTAACTCGAAATGAGACAGAGAGAGGAAGAGAACGCTACTCAGATTTAAGCAGAAAAGATATAGAATATTTTAATCGTTTGAATAAATTCGCTTATTGGTAAAAAAAAAAACTTGTACTCACCTGCATTCGACTTGAAATTAGTGAAAATTTATCTTTGTAACTAAAATTACCTACCCCAAGCTTCCTTCCACCCATGAAATGCTATTTCTCGGACTTTTCTTTCGACATAGATTAAAGGCAGTACTAAACCGCTCCACTCAGAAAACTGTTTAAATGCCTGTGGCCGTTCCAAGATGTGTTTCCAACAAAAATTATGTTATGCCATACATTTTCACCCTTCAAGGGATCTGAACTTGTATTATTATTCATATTTTTCGTTGGTCGAAAATATGAGAAATGGAAACAAACGGTCGATTGTTGTTACAGCAAGGCGGCATTACTTCCAGAGGTCGACCGTTTCGCAACCGTATGCCTCTTTACAAATACAGTCAGACGTCACAGACGCCAGCCATTTAATGACATGCATTTGCATGGAATTGTGGTAGAATATGTTTAACGCCCTGTTATTTGCTTTTGTGCTCTTTATTTTCATTGCCATCGATCACTTAGTAGACTACCATCGGTCTATGGTAAATACCCTTCAGTTATAAGCATTATGACAATGGGAGATGTTCTTAACTATCAGCCTCGTTGTAACTTATAATAAATTATGATAAATCACTTAAAGCTTTCCCATTGCTGTTATCTGTAACGTAATAATATAACTAGTCTCTGTACACTATTTATAGTAATTTGCTCTCCAAGAAACCAAGAAACTAGAATATAATACCCTGATAGTATGACAGCCCAAAATAACCTTTGTATCCCCTCCACTCCACTCCATAGAAAATCAATCGCATGAGTTTCTGAATATTTTGATAGTTTTTCGGATTTTATTTCAATGGGTTTGTTAGGGTCTGGACTACTCGTGTGCCATTCGTATTTTTTTATTTCTTGTATTTGTTTGACGGTAATTATTTTTACATGCAATTTTCTTATTAACTTAAGGTTAAGATAATAGTCACCTCTAAAATGTGGTAAAGGGATTTTAGATCCGTATGATTAAACTATGACGTAACTTCCACTGCTCAAGAGTTTATCTACATTTTCTATGTATATAAATAAGTAATTAGATCTTAAGTTGGATGTGTATGTAATATTTCATTTACAATTAATATTTTTTAATTACAATTTATAAAGAGCAAATATTAATGTATACTTCCTTCTAAGTAGTCCAATTACAATTAGTATAAGATTCTCAGTGACAAATATTTGACAATGCTACTCAAGTGAGGTATAAGTAATATTATTAGTGATATTAGGAGTGAAATGACATGGAGAAAAGTAATTGAAGTTGATTTGTGTTATTTTATGAAAATTATTAAGTAATAATTATTTATTAATTATTATTATTTATATACGAGGGTTACTACTTTTGTTTTGGAACTATTTTTCAGATCTTTAATTTATTTTCATTATTTATAAAATATTTATAATTTTTTGAGCTGTATTAAAAATTTCTCCAAAATTTGATTGCTTTTCTCAGATGGAAATTTGGTTCATGAGGGTTTATCTCCTTGGCTCGTGTGTCATATGTAGAGTTTCTGAGCAACCGCAGGACGGACGGCCAGGACTCGACGATATCCATTATTGTATAGACATTTTTGACAACTGACCCTCCACACTGTGAAGCCTATTTTACCTGAATTGCTCACGATTTTCAGTTGCCTAATTGATTTTTCGAAGAAAAATTGTGGAATATGATATATTATCTATTGGACATGCGCTCAAATATAACTTAGTTCAGTGTTCAATATTTCTACAGTCTGGTACGACCAACATCTAGAAGTTATAGAAAATTTATCTAAATAAAAAAATGAGTTAAATTTTTCAACTACGGTCGCGCCTCGGCAGGGAATGTCAACACCTTGGTGTGTATTTCTTACAATAAAAACCAAAAGTTCTTATTAAAAAACCCAGTTAGTATAAATTGTAGCTCCCTCCATTTGTTGAAAACACATCAAAGCGCAAAATCACAAATTGGAGGAGGAGCTCGGCCTAAAATCGCTTCAGCTGTTGCAAAGCGACAATAATGCATATATACATAGTATATAATTAAATACCAATGCACTTTCTTTCTAATGAAAGAAAATATAATATTATTCTGTTAAACTGTTTTAATCAGCAAAGTCCTCGTATTTTGCATGTGAATAAATTTATTTAAAAGCTGAAATCAAGTAACTAATATGTGCTTCAATTATTTTATACACAAACAACATGGCAAAATATTGCCAAATTGCAAGAATGCAAACAAAAGTGTAAGCAAGTAAATATGTAAATGAAATCTGAATTTGTAGGCGAAACTAAAAATAAATATCAATAACAGAAAGTATTTCTTCTCATAAATTTACTATTAACTTTATGTGAAATGTTCGGTTTTTAACTATTTGTATAAAGTTGCATTGTAGCATGTGCATGATTTTTTCCCTGAAGCATAAATGTGTAAATATTTTACATTATTTATAAATATGTGTAGTTTTGCTTTGCATGATTTTATTTTATTTATTTTCCCTCGTACACACCTGCATAAATATTTGTGATTTCCATAGCAAACTTAAAAAATAAGAATATTAATAAAAATATATTTACTTTCATTTTTCTCCACGCACTGCACTGCAACGGCAATAATGGCTGACTGTAATTTATACTGTTGACCGCATAACAGGTCACTGCCACCGATGGCGACAAGGATCGCCCACAGAATATTGTTTACTTTTTGACAGGGCAAGGCATTGATCCAGATAACCCTGCCAATAGTAAATTCGATATTAATCGCACGACAGGAGAAATATTCGTACTTAAGGTGAGTAGTATGTGTGAGTAGTGAATGCTTAATGATTATTTCTTTTTTGTCTTTTAATTTTTTATTTAATTCTTTGTTTTTTGAATCGTATAAAATTATATACCTTCAAAAAGTAAAGAACACATTTTCAATAATAATGCGACTTAGAAAAGGTTGCTCAACAAATAATTAAAAAAAAAAATTATTTAAATAATTGACATATTTATTAATTAAAATTAAGAGTGTAAAGAAAGAGAATCAAAAAAAAATGTGTTTATGCTACTGTGAATATGCCACAATAATTTCCCGTATACTATATACGTATATACTACTAGCAGACCCGGTCACATGCCTTTTACTAGGGGTAAATAATGAATCTCCGCAAAGAATTGAAGATAGGCGATTATACTCTAAAAACTTTCTGTATGGTGCGTTCCTTTCTCCAGAGGTGGACCTTACCTCTTTGAAATCGACAACGACGATACTTTAACCTTTAATTTAACCTGCTATTGCAAGAAATATAAAAGATTTTAGAAATATATATAATTTGATTTCATTGCCAAAGAAATTTTCTAGCAGCGCAATCTTGATCACCGACATCATGCGATATGACACCGCTGGACTTTTTTTTGAAGCGACTTGATACCGCCCTATGTGCCAAAAGCTGGAAGTTTACAAAAAATAACGGGGCAGCCTTTTAAATGACGTAGTGTCTCGCAAATAATGCCAAGTTTCAAACCTTATATACCGAAAAATTGATAGCCCGTTATTATATTTAAAATACGGCGGCCACGATAGCCGAGTGGTTAGCATTGCTTACAGCAATTCGGAAGGCTCGGTTTCAAACTCTGCTGTCGTACTAACATCCAAAAAGATATAGAAAATTAAGCTGAATTTTCTAAAAATGGTCGCCCTTCGGCTGGAAATATCAACTCCACCGAATGTATTTCTGACTCGAAATAACGGCTGCTCATAAAAAACCATCAGCCGTTCCGGGGTGGATTAGAATAAGATATAAATCCCTCCATTTGTCGAGAGAATATCAAGACGCAAAATTACAAATTGGCGGAAGAGCGCGGCCGAAAAAAGCATCAGCGTTTCAAAGCGCCAATTATATTCTAGAAATTTTCAAAATAAGTCTTTTAAAATCCTGCGCGTACTCTTTATACTGGACACATTTTACGTGTAATTTTGCAATTTCTTCGTACAAATATCCATTCACCTTAATCACGCATTCATTACCAATGAAAACAACTTTAAATATATCTTGTGAATTTTTCTTTCATTTTAATCGTCTTCGATGTTGCGCTACAACTGATTGATTCATGAATGCAATTAAACGAGATGAGCTGGCATGATTGCACCAAGCGAGATACCATTGTGTTTGCCAACTGTTTAAAATAAGTGAAAATCTCATTAAAAGCAAGATTAAGCGCGTACAAAAGTAGAGCTAGTGAAGGAAAAAAGTGTCTTAAATGAATGTACCACACACATATGCATTGCTCAAAGTAAAAATGATCTAAAACGACTTTTGAAAAAAAAAAATATACTAAAATGAATTAGTTAAGATTTTTTACTTTTTGCCAAATGTGTTGCTTACCAGTTTAAATTAAAATTTTAAGCACAGCAGTGTAAACTTGAATAAAATAAAATTAAGGTAAATAAGTGAAGTACGCAGTAAATATTTTTTTTTGGTGTCCTAATTCGATTTTCTAAAAATATTTAATAAATTTCAATTATAAAATAAATATACATTAATAATGTACATTTGTATGTATGTACATTATATTAAATTTAACTGACATATTAAACTTCAATGAATCCTTATTGAAATTTGACGTCTTAGCACCCTAAATTTCATAAACAAATTTGAAATTTTTTTTTACTATTTCAAAGTTTTCAAAATATTAAAAAAATGATTTACGCCACTTCAACTTATAATAGCACATACAGTTGTATATTAAAAATATATACTGTTACTGGCGGAAAATAGATAAAAAAGTATATAAGACCAGAGTAAGTGCGGCAAGCAAGCCACAACAGATGATTGCCTGATTATCCAGGACTATAAAGCCTACAATGAATTAATTGCAATGGTAAAAGGGTAAATGGAAGAGCGAAAAAGTAAATTGTGAAAATTGCAATGCTTTTTGTTTGTATTTAATACTTATATACCAACACGTAGAATGAAGAAGTAAAATATGAGAAAGAAAATAAGTTTCTCTTGCACAGCACATTTACATATACTCGCACATATATGTATATGTAATGTGCTGGTAAAAAAAAATAAAAAAAATAAAACGGCAATAAATTACTGTTATAAATAGCGGAGAAATAATTAAAAGAAACCATTTTTCTACCCGCTATCTTCCAATGTAAATTCGCATAAAACCCAACTCTACTTATCTGCATATGAGTCAGTCAATGCCATTTTAGTTCGCAAGTGAGCGAAGAGAAAAGAAAATCGCATCTACCTTAAATGTAAATGCAATTATTTTTTTACACAACCACATCCGCATCATGCATACACCCACATTCATATGTCTCATCTCTTCTACCACACGCCAGTACTCATATCATTTGCTTGTATCAAATTCAGGTTTGAATTTTATACGAAAATATTCATAAATTAACCAACTTGGAGCATTAAAGAATGCTTACCACACTTATGAAAGTACTTAAGGTTACACTAAATATCGCAGTGGGAATATTTGCGTGTATCTAATAAATCTTGCCTGCAAATCCACAGCCAGCATGTCCTTGCTGTTGCCCGACAATGCTATACCGCCAAGACACCTCGTGACGCACCACCTGAGGTGAGTGCATTTTCTGGTATTTTCGACTTAGGAAGCGAAGTGCTGTTGTGCGCCATTGTTGTCAATGGCTTCGTGGAAATTGCGGTTGGCAAAATTTATGCGTTCCAAGCAGTAGCATATCTGTTTTGTCTTGCATACTCATATAGATTTAGACGTATACGTATATGTATGTATATATATAATGCGCATGGATCTATTTCATATGCATACGTTTGTATGTTTGTGTAAGTACATTTGAGTAGCTTACAAAGAACGCGCATAAAATTAAATTCAGCAGCCAAGGTAACGCATTGAAGACCGGGCAGGGCGTGTGAGAACCACTGTACACTTTCACATTCATATGTTGTTGCAAGAACCCGAAATTCATCAAAAGCCAGTGACTTTGCTCTTAAATACAACAAATAGGAACAAAATATCATGCTCACCTACGAATAACAGAATTGTGAGTTGTAAATAATGTGTTGACATACATATATACACGCATTTGAGTTGGAATTTCGTAATGTTTTTATGTATGTGTGCTATGACAAAGATTTGTCAAGTAAATTATCACGTCAGCAACAGCCATCGGCGCTATAATCTTTTACTTTTGACCCACACACATACACTTATATATAGAAATATTCGCATTCATCGATAGCTACACAACAGCTCACCGAGAAGTTCATTGTTATTGGTACTAGTTAGAAAGTGGACTAAAATACAAGCAATCTTGATAAGCCTAAGTGGAAAATAACTAAATAACGTCTAATTTTTTTCGATTTTTATTTAATAAGCCAATTTAATTTTGAGCAGTTATGAGGCTAATAATATATTTTTTTCCGAAAAACTCATATATATATATATATAAATTATAGTTTGTGGTTTTGCGTTTTGGCGTTTTTCCAACAAATCGAGGGACCTACAGTTTAAACTAAGCCGCCTCCGAACGGCTGATGTTTTTTTACGAGGAGCTTTTGATATTCGTGTCAGAAATACGCTCGGAGGGATTAAGACTCTATGCCAAGGGACGCAATTAGAAAATTCTACTAAAGTTTATAATTAAATTAGTTTTCTAAATTTTTGGGATATTGGTCGTGCCAGGATTTTTACTCGTAATGCTAACCACTCGGCTACTGCGGTCGCAAAAAATATCAGTTTCTTTAAAGAAAAAATACAAAGGCCTGTTATGCTTGCCTCGAAGTAGTTTCAAAACAATTTCTTAAACTAGACAAAGGTTGGTTTTTAAGTCCTCAACAGTTAAAGGTTTAACCACATAACGATGGTCTTTCGCGGTGCCTCTCAAAAAATGTCTCAAGGTTCAAATCGCACGATTTCAGTAGCGAATTAACTAGGAGGTCGGGAAATTTTTCTTGAACTATAGCCATATACACCCGTATTGTGTGGCATCTAGCACCAACGTGTTGAAACCACATATTAGCCTAGTCATGTTCAATTGGAGGCTAATACATGTCGATTATCATACGACCGAAATGACAGTGACAGTGTTGCCTTTGTCATTTTTAAAGAAGTAAGGTCCAATCACACATCTTGGTCAAGGAACGCACCAGACATTAGAATGTTATGGCCTCTATTCAATTATATATTTCAATATCCTGCTTATAGTTCAAACAGCCAATCGACGTATTTATGGGGTTGTGAATGATCAGCTGGCCTCAGCTATTGTGTCAGCTGGACTTTATATTGACGTGGATGTAAGTTCATGTGCAAAAGACAATACTTCTTAATGTATCGGTAGAAAGTCCCTGCTCTTGAAAACGCCAAGAAATAGACATTTTCGGCTACACTTTCACTTAAAGTACCGATAACTGAGGTGGATCAAGCTAATGTCAAAGTGCATTTGACTTCTAGAACCACAATATATATATATGTACATTTAAATCCCTTCAAACTTTGCTTTCCTCTTTATTTTTCAAGAAATAAAGTGTTTGAGTTTACATATTTTGTTTTCTTTTTTAGTCTGTATTACATGTGAGTAATGTTAACATTTGATACGAGATAAGTATAATGTTTTACCCTCATCAATTTGGCAAACATGTATATGTACGTGTATGTGTGTACGAGTAAGTAAGAAAGCAGGTTGTAGCACAAATACCAAGGTTAACTCTGGCAATGATTTTAACGTCAAATGCAGAATTTGAAAGCTATTTAACACAACATTTTCACATACATAAAATTTACAAACATAAGGACATATATACAGTGTAGTTGTTTACAAGTCCTAAATTAACTAGTTGGATACTAGTGTGCATACATGAAGTAGTATTTTTAAAACGTTGATGTCCTATGAGATAGTTGATAATTTTTTCTCATTGTTGATTTTAATGAACTAAATATTTTTGTTCGATTTTTAGCAAAAGTATTTCTTTCTGAAAAATTAAATTTAGAATAATAAGTAAATAATCAATAAAATTGTTTGTTAAGGATTTGTTGGCGTTGCTTTTATTTTTAATGTTGTTGGTGTTAGCCGGCTTATGCCACAAATTTGCATAATAAAATCACATGATATAAACATACATCAAATCATTCTTTAATAAAAAATATTACTATAAAAGAAATGTATCATTTGAATACTTTCCCAGATATTCAAAACAATATAACTGTGAAAAAAGTTTTAAAATTTTAACTTAAATCAATTATGAATACTTTATTTTGATAGTTAATTTATAAAATGAAGGGTTCTATAATTAGTACCACTTCAATATTTTCTTCGGCCAGCTTGACTTCTGTAAGGAAATGCTAGCTAAAAAGGGTTTTATCCGACTAGTCTGGTATTATGCACAGGAAAGGAATCATTATATTTCTGAGTGACTGTGACATAAATATCTGTAAATTTTTATAAATTTAAATTTTTTATGGTTGATAAAAATGCAAAAAAAAAAGAAATACTAACCACCTTCCATTCTCTTTTCTAACTGTCATTACAGCCTCTGGATCGTGATCAACCGAATGGCCGTCCACAATGGCGATTTACCGTTTTCGCCCAAGATGAGGGTGGTGAAGGCCTAGTCGGCTATGCTGATGTGCAGGTGAATTTGAAGGACATCAACGATAACGCACCAATCTTTCCACAAGGTGTCTACTTTGGCAACGTCACTGAAAACGGCACTGCCGGTATGGTGGTGATGACAATGACCGCTGTTGACTACGACGATCCGAATGAGGGGTCTAATGCCAAACTTGTGTACTCTATTGAGAAGAATGTGATTGAGGAGGAAACTGGCTCGCCGATATTTGAAATTGAACCTGATACGGGTGTTATTAAGACGGCCGTCTGCTGTTTGGATCGTGAACGCACACCGGATTATTCTATACAAGTGGTTGCAATGGATGGCGGGGGGTTGAAGGGGACGGGGACGGCCTCGATACGTGTGAAAGATATTAACGATATGCCGCCTCAATTTACGAAAGACGAGTGGTTTACCGAAGTGGATGAAACGGATGGTACGACATTGCCCGAAATGCCTATACTCACTGTGACGGTGCACGATGAAGACGAGACGAACAAGTTCCAATACAAAGTTATCGATAACAGTGGTTATGGCGCTGATAAGTTCACCATGGTGCGCAATAATGATGGCACAGGTTCATTGAAAATCGTGCAGCCGTTGGATTATGAGGATCAGCTACAAAGCAACGGTTTCCGTTTTCGCATACAAGTCAATGATAAGGGTGAGGACAATGACAATGACAAATATCATGTAGCCTACTCTTGGGTAGTTGTAAAATTGCGCGATATTAACGATAATAAGCCGCACTTTGAACGCGCTAATGTAGAAGTTTCGGTATTCGAAGACACCAAAGTGGGCACTGAGTTGGAGAAATTCAAGGCGACCGATCCCGATCAAGGTGGTAAGAGTAAAGTTTCGTACTCGATCGATCGTTCATCGGATCGGCAGCGGCAATTCGCCATTAATCAAAATGGTTCGGTGACAATACAACGCTCTTTGGATCGAGAAGTTGTGCCGCGTCATCAGGTTAAAATATTAGCCATTGATGATGGTTCGCCACCAAAAACAGCAACTGCTACACTGACAGTCATTGTGCAGGATATTAATGATAATGCGCCGAAATTCTTAAAGGACTACCGACCTGTGTTGCCAGAGCATGTGCCACCCAGAAAAGTTGTCGAAATTTTGGCCACAGACGATGATGATCGTTCGAAAAGCAACGGACCACCGTTTCAATTTAGACTCGATCCCAGCGCTGACGATATTATACGTGCTTCCTTCAAGGTGGAACAAGATCAAAGTGAGTAACGGGTTCTTTTTCAAATTTGATAGATATAAACTTTGAAAGTGTAATAAAAAAATATTTGCCACTGTGATAAAATAATATAAAATTCAGTAAAATAAATTATTAACAGAAAACTGAATAAAATAAAATAAAATAAAATTCAATTAATTAAAAAAAATAAATAAAATAAAATAAAACAAAGTTAAATAAAAGCAAAATAAACTTTACCTATAAAAATTAAAATGAAATAAAAGTAAATAAGAAAATAAAATAATTCTAATAAAATAAAATTATATGAGATGAAATAAAATAAAGCTAAATAAAGTGAAAAAAAAATAAAATAAAATAAAATGAAATAAAAAAACTAAAACAAATTGAAGCAAAATAAAATTAAAATAAAATAAATTAAAAAATTACTTAAAAAAAAATAAAAAGTAAAAAAGAAATAAAAATAAAATACATAAATTAAATTAAAATAATATTAAATTAAATAAAATAAGATTAACTAAATTAAATTAATTTAATCTGACTTAAGTTTATTTGTAATAAACTAAATTTAATTAAATTAAATGGAATTAAATTAACTTACCTTAAAAGAATTTAAACTTAGTTAAATTAAATTAATTTAAACTAACTTATATTAAATAAAAATTAATTTAATTAAATTAAAATTAATTACACTAAATTTTTTTAAATCAAATTCAAGGAAATTGAATTTAATTAAAACAATTTAAGTAAAATGAAATACAATTTTAAGTAATTAAAAAATAAAAAAAATATAAATCAAAATAATATAAAACAAAACCGATTGGCAAGTTTGAAAATATTAAGATTCCAAACAACAAGTTTTTTTGCTTGTTCATAGCTGCTTCTTCTAGAATATAATATTTATATTTTCAAACTCGCTCATACCACTGAAAGCAGATAATACAACTATGTACGTATTCAAGTAGATATTTCGTTCAAAACTACGAATTTACTATAAGTCAGAACAAGGAGAAGCTTAAACTAATTATTAACAAAAGCAAATGCCTTGCTCGTACATCACCGATAATTCTCGAAAAAATTTATCAAAATGTGCACCATAAATCACATTGAAATCATACATTCAACAACTGAGAAACTTCTCTTCTCCCATTGATAATGAAGAAACAATGCATAGATATTGAATATTTCAGTGCATGTGTTCTATTCATGAGCATTTTGATGTGTGAGTATATAGTTTATGCTGCGAGTAATTCTACAAATGGTTGCTTGTTTTCACAAAATCTAGATATATGAACAAATAGGATTCTGTGGTACTATTTGGATCAAACCAAAAAAGGCATATCATCGGTACAAGAAAAAAAAAAGAAAAACCAAACAAATATGTAAATGTAAATGTGCATACAAGAAAAATTTTTGAAATCATGAACAGAGATCCAAAAGTGATTATCCGCATGCAAAAATATACAAAGGATTGATACGTATGTGTTTAGTGAGAAGGTAGACAACATATCTTGACTTGAGCTCTTAAGTCCCTTTTTTCCAGGTACTTTGTTTAATATGCAAACAAGCTGTGTAGAACTTAGAGCCATCGTACTTCTACTGCCTATACTGCCACTATAGACATTCCTCTTGCCGAAATGTTCATGTGTTTGTTTCACAAGCTAACTGTATTATTGTAGTAACTCTACTTTTGTGCCACCAGTTGAACTAACGCTTGCCTTTTCAACAACAAATTCGTACATTTTTTAACTTTAAATGCATTTGTTAGATTAAAAAGTAATTATAACACTATACAATGCTGTTTTTCAAACAATACGTACATTGTTATATGAGAGATAACTATACGTGTTTTGCGTTTGCTTGCACTCAATACGTAAATGAAACATTTCTAATTGTTTGTAGCATGCACTCGGACATACTCGTATATACCGTTGTAAATAGTTTGGTAAATTCAAACTGTGCTAGTAAACTAAACACCCAGTTAACTTTTGAACTATTATAAATGATAGTGGTAAAGTTTTTCTCTTACAAAAAAAATCCTTTTTTTAATTGGAAACATTTTAAAATAGAAAATATTTTTTATTTTCGATAAAGTTTGTACATTTTTTTTTTTTGTATTATTATATTGTATTTTCATTTGTATTATTATATTGTATTTTGATATTTTCAAATTAGAGGTAAAATTAAAATTAATACCTGTACTTTTTTATAAGGGTTAACAAAATCAAAAATCAGCTTACAAAAAAAAAATCATATCAAAAGAATTTTTTAAAAGATAACGCTGAAAGTAAAACTTTTTTGATAATTCAATTTATATAATGGTTTTATCTAATTATTGCTTTTTTGTCAAGTGATAAATCTTTTGTTTTAATTAGTTTCAATACTTGATTATCTCATTCTAAGATCATTCAAAAATCCATTATCCTCAGATGAAGGATTAATAATAAAATTAAAAATTTACACTCTATATGTTGTTGATAATTCAGTTCCTTTAAAAATAAATAAGTTATTATGGCTTTTTGAATTTAAAACAGGATAATATTTTAGAAATTTTTTACAAAATACGGGAAAGTGATAAGAATTCGATAGGGAGTATTACACGATTTATTTCAAATATTCACCGTTTTGCTCTGTTTGCCATTGCAAACAAGGTCATGTATTGTGTCTCTCTTCTAGCAACCTGTGTCCCTGTTGGCAAAAAAAATTAAGATAGACGGCAATACATATTAATAACTTAGTCCAAGGTATGGACTATAAGCTGGATGCATATCAACCTCCTATCCAAGATCTCTGAGCTTCTGGTGGTTCACTATTGATATGTGTGGTCTGGCGTTGTTCTATTGAAACACTTCTCCACCCTAGTTGACCAAAACTGGGTCAACTGTACCATTGCTTCTTTCTAGTGGTCTAATTGCTGACAGTGCACGTCAAGATTATGTGTTTGGCTCATAATGGATGACTGCTTGCTATCACCACCCATAGCGCAACAAAACTTTAGTGATCATCAATCCTGGCTTGGATACCGTTTTGACGTTCGTTCACGGCTGTTTTCATTTGACGTTGCTGTAAGTGATCCACTTTTCATCACCAGCCACCATCCGCTTCAGAGGTGGGTCGATTTTGCGACGATTCGGCAGCAGATGAATATTCAGTTCATGGGATTTTTTTCGTTGACTCATGTATATCACCTTTTTAATGCCATCCAGGGTAATCCAATCACGCGAGTGGTTTTATTTTTACTAAACCTGTCATAAAAGAGAACAAGAAGGAAGAAAAATTGTATTAAAGGATTGTTTATTGCCTCACTTAAATGTTTGCTGGGTAAATGAAATGCATTTTAAATTCAAGTCAGTCCAGGCTCATACATCCCCGAATATGCAATTGTATTTATTGTATACACAGCGTCCTCTATCTCTCTCTTTTCGCCTTTACACAGAATATTAAGCAATGAAAATTAGTTTCTGTTCTAAAATCTAAACACCAAAGGTAAAATTTGGTAAGCCTTTTAAATGAATTGTGAGTTTTAACTTTCTAATTTGGTTTTACCTGACAAGGACAAGAATGTTTTTAACAGGAAAATATATAAAAGTTGTATTAATGATTTCATTATTTGAGTGAATTAAATATTCTGCCTTATTTTAATATATAATATACATACGTTTCTATTTTTTAGTATATTAATGTATTAATTAAGTATTAAGGTATTTCCTTAAACGAATAGGGAAATATTCCTGATTAACATTCCCTTTTTGCTTAATAATAGAATTATATATTTGTTATATAATATACAATAATCAAATATTTTCTACATTCTCTCACTAACAGAGGGCGCCAACGGTGACGGTATGGCTGTAATCTCTTCGCTCCGTTCATTTGATCGTGAGCAGCAGAAAGAGTACATGATACCGATTGTGATCAAAGATCATGGCTCACCTGCAATGACGGGCACTAGCACTCTAACCGTAATTATTGGCGATGTTAATGACAACAAAATGCAGCCTGGTTCCAAGGATATATTCGTCTACAATTATCAAGGACAATCGCCAGATACACAAATTGGGCGTGTCTATGTTTATGATTTGGATGATTGGGATCTGCCCGACAAGAAATTCTACTGGGAGGCACAGGAGCATCCACGTTTCAAATTGGATGAAGATTCAGGCATGGTTACAATGCGCGCAGGCACACGAGAAGGACGTTATCATCTACGTTTCAAGGTGTATGATCGTAAACATACACAAACCGATGTGCCGGCTAATATAACGGTGACAGTGCGTGAGATCTCACATGAGGCCGTCATAAATTCAGGCTCCATACGTGTTTCCGGCATAACGGATGAAGATTTCATACGCGTCTGGAACTACCGGACCCAGAGTTTGAGTCGTTCGAAGTTGGACCGTTTCCGCGATAAGTTGGCCGACTTGTTGAATGCGGATCGTGAAAATGTTGATATATTCAGTGTGCAACTCAAGCGCCGTCATCCACCACTCACCGATATACGCTTCTCTGCACATGGCTCACCCTATTACAAGCCAGTGCGTCTGAATGGCATAGTGCTTATGAATCGTGAAGAGATTGAGAAAGATGTCGGCTTTAACATCACTATGGTTGGCATTGATGAGTGTTTGTATGAGAATCAAATGTGCGAGGGCTCCTGTACGAATACTTTGGATATTAGTTCGTTGCCGTACATGGTTAATGCGAATAAGACCGCTTTGGTGGGTGTGCGTGTAGACACATTAGCCGAGTGTACTTGTGGCGCAAGAAATTTCTCGAAACCCGAATCGTGTCGCAATACACCTTGTTACAATGGCGGACGTTGCGTAGATACGCGCTTTGGACCACACTGCTCTTGCCCTGCTGGCTATAATGGTCCGCGCTGTCAACAAACGACACGTAGTTTCCGCGGCAATGGTTGGGCTTGGTATCCACCATTGGATATGTGTGATGAGTCACATTTGAGTTTAGAGTTCATCACACGCAAGCCCGATGGTCTTTTCATATACAATGGACCCATTGTTCCACCGGAACGTGAAGAAATGATTATTACCGATTACATAGCCCTCGAGTTGGAGCGTGGCTATCCACGTTTGCTTATCGATTTCGGCTCGGGTACTTTAGAGTTGCGCGTGAAAACGAAAAAGTCACTCGATGATGGTGAATGGCATCGTATCGATGTATTCTGGGATACAGAGAATGTACGCATGGTTATTGATTTCTGTAAGTCTGCGGAAATAAGTGAAATGGAGGATGGCACACCGCCCGAGTTTGACGACATGTCTTGTCAGGCGCGTGGCCAAATACCACCCTTCAATGAATATCTCAACGTGAATGGACCACTGCAGGTGGGTGGCATATACCGTGATCTATTCGATCCATCGCTATACTTCTGGCATTATGCGCCCAACGCCAAAGCCTTTGACGGTTGCATACGTAATTTGGTATTCAATTCAAAACTGTACGACCTGGCGCATCCAGGTCTTTCACGCAACAGCGTCACCGGCTGTCAGCAAACAGAGGAAGTTTGTTCACAATCCGAGCAAACAGCGCGCTGTTGGGAACACGGCAATTGTGTGGGCTCCCTCTCAGAGGCACGCTGTCAATGTCGTCCCGGCTGGACAGGACCCGCTTGCAATATACCCACCATACCGACCACCTTCAAGCAACAGAGTTACGTTAAGTATGCACTCAGCTTTGAGCCGGACCGTTTCAGCACACAAATGCAATTACGTTTCCGTACACGTGAACAACACGGTGAACTATTCCGTGTCTCAGACCAACACAACCGCGAATATGGAATTTTAGAAATTAAGGATGCGCGTCTGCACTTCCGCTACAATCTCAATTCGCTGCGTACGGAGGAGAAAGATTTATGTTTGAATGCTGTCGCAGTTGACGATGGACAGTGGCATGTGGTGCGTATTAATCGTTATGGCTCGGCGGCAACATTGGAGTTGGATGGCGGCGAAGGACGACGCTACAATGAGACATTCGAATTTGTGGGCCACCAATGGTTGTTGGTCGACAAGCAAGAGGGCGTATATGCTGGCGGCAAGGCTGAATATACCGGTGTGCGTACGTTTGAAGTATATTCGGATTATCAAAAAAGTTGCCTGGACGACATCAGGTGAGTGCAACCCTGAAGTTGTGCATATATGTGTTTTGTGTTTAGCTGGTCTTTAACTGCATACCAAGCTTGTACAACTCATATCGTATTGATTCTGATTTCTATTTTTGTGCTTACGTACAGGCTCGAAGGGAAGCATTTGCCTCTACCACCCGCCATGAATGGCACGCAATGGGGTCAAGCGACTATGGCGCGTAATCTGGAAAAGAATTGCCCATCCAATAAGCCTTGCTCGAATGTCATTTGCCCGGAGCCGTTTGAATGTGTGGATCTGTGGAATGAATATGAATGCACGTGAGTAGCGCCTTAGTTGAATTTATGTATGTATTATGCAATTGGCACGCAAGCACATTATTTTTGTTTAAATTTTCCATTCTTTGTTTTCATATCACAATTTTGAGTTTCTCATTTCATCCCATCATTCATCTGAGATACTCCATGTAACAACATATGAACACCACACAGAAATTCTAAAAACAATTTAAATAAAAAACCAGTAATTTTTATACTTTTTAATCTTTCCCGAACATACATATATAAATACAATTTCCTACTTCATGTTACAATACACCGAAAGAGGAATTATAGATTGGCTTTGAGAGTATCATTAACATTATAAATTTCATATTTTTATTCCGCAATAAGCTCGTGAAGATGTTGAAGCAAAATTAAGTTTAAAAAAATATTCGACTTAGAATTGGTCAAAAGAAGCCGAATGGACACACTTTGATTAATAATATCATACAGCCCTATGGTAATGCTACTTAACTGAAGTAGCTGTGTCACCATAGGTATGGTTCGAAAAATGGATACGAGGGTGGATATATCAAGCTAAACAGTGGAAGAGCAGGAGCAAGTACGAAAAAGTACTAAAAAATAGAAAAGGAAAATAGGAATTGAGACTCTGTTTCGAAGCGATATTGATTGGAAGAGAGGAAAAGGCTACTCTATTTTGAAGTGACAAACTTATAACAAATATAAAGAGGCAGAAACGAAAGAAGCATTCAAAGTAATCACTAACTACTCTACTTTAGTATTTTATAACTCAGCTGCTAAGTTGACCGCCGACTGAAAATGCACTGCTTATTAGCTCAACCAGCTATTTAGCACATTACATCCTAACTGTTAGACAAGAAAGTTTTCAAAACTTATGCCTATAACTTGTAGTGGCGAAATGTTGTCAGCTGTTGGTGTGGATACGTACTTTGAAACATATATTTAAAAAAAATTTTCTATCCGATTATCTCGTATTATGAACCTAGAATAATCAAATCGCTATTAGTCCCTCTCTTACGACCGCCAGTAGCAGCAGCGAGAAGCGTCGGTATCTTTACGGCTGGTTGAGCTATATATATGTAGCAGATAATGTGTAGAATGAACTACTTGAGTGTCGTTAGCTATGCTTTTTTAGTGAAGTGGTAGTAGATTTCCTAGTAGTTAATTGTGCAGCAAAGCCTAATTTTACAAGTACACAGGGTGCCCTTAGCAGTTAATACATTCTCAAAAGAGGTGGAATACACCAATCCCATTTTCTATTTCGATAATTTTTCCTTAACAAAATACAAAGCTTACACTGACTTTCCCACCAGCACAACGTATTAAAAGCGGAGCTAACCACTATAATGGAAACCGTTTCGTGGTTGCTCGTTTCTAATACGTTAACTCAACCTATCACAACCAACCAGCCAGGTTATCATTAAGTCTCATCAATGCAATAATTCTACCACAAAGATGGTAAATGCAGGGAGATCTTAGGAAACTATTGACTGTATGCGAAAGGTACATTGTTTGGGTCCGTGGTAATAAGGAACAGCACGGACGGCGAACTAGTCAGAAAAATAATAGCATTATCCACGGTAAACTCTGCACATGACGTGGGCATACCGCTTTCTTCGGTTAAGTATCTGCTAAAACTAGCCTTCACCATAAGGGTAAAGAGAACTAAATTACTATTTTATCTAAACCAGCAAACCAACAAAGATAATAACCGAGCATCGTCACTGAAACTCAAGTTTAAGGGTGGGTTGCTTCCTAAACGACTTTTGCCGCGGCTGTGAAGACCTAGATGAACAACACTACCCACATATGTCACTGTCCAGATTTCAGTGCAGTCTGTTATGGTTTTCTCAGAAATTTCTTCTTCGATTGTTTTGCGGGGCTCGCATTGGTAGACATCATTAATCTCCTGCTAATACTACTTCTTACGTGATTAATACGTAGCTACTATGCTAAGTAATATATTGAGTACAATATTTTGTGTTGTGTACGAAACATGTTAAGGCATAAGTATGACACATTTTTGGTGAGAATTATCAAGAAATTCTTTTTGCAAAATAGAATTGATTTGTTAACTTTTGAAATGTGTATTTTTATTGTTAAGCCTCTTATGGTGTGGTGGAAATACCGAGAACGCCTGATAGACAAATTTGAACACCCTAGTGCTCAATAAAATAATTATTTTATGCAAAGGATATTTGTTCTTTCTTAAACTTTAAACAACTCTTTTCATACCTCGACCCTTAAACACACTCACGCGCTTAAGACGATGCCTCTATATTTAAAAAATCACACACTTGGAGCTGTAAATGTGAAATTTAGTCTTAATTGTTTAAAAAAAAAAAAAGTATTTAGGAGCAATTACCATTTTATTGCAGATGTTTTAACGTGACATTTAAAATCACAATAAAAAAGTTATCACTAACAAGCAAAAAAAAAGCAAGCGCGATATTTCATTTTCAGTAACTTTTAAATTTTTTTCAATTTCATCTAAGCCCAAACACTGATAAACATTAGTCACGGCATATACGAACATAATATAATATACAAAAATACCTGCCTTCCCCAAAACCTGCACAGCCAAGTGCGCTAAGCTTTTCAAGTCATAAAACAAACAAAAAAATAGCAAAAAAAAAACCTCACAAAGAAATAACACTAAAGTGTCGACTTTGAACAGGAAAATAAGAAGAAAGACTGGTTTTACTGTCACTTCATACTCGTATGTACACTCAGTTTCCACCTTTTTTTCATCACGAAATGTTTTTCGCCTTAAATGCTTCTAACTTTCAACTCCAGACACACACTACTATCTTTCACATGCATCATTTCAACGTGAACGGAAAAAGTCGCCCCTGAGCTGCTATATATCACAGTGAATATATGTATGTAGTGTGTGAAGCTACAAAAAGTTTGACGATCAAGGCCAGCGAAAAGAATCAGTCAACAACACAGGCATAAACATTTTTAATGCACACCAGTAGTAAAAGTTTTATTTTTTCTTTAGCAGAAACAGATACACCTCGCTATGATTGGCAACCCATGCAAGTAAAATCTAACTGGTACACACAAGGATAGTGACTGACTAGTTCAAAAATACCGAGATGGTATCATATGTTAACTTTTGAATGTAATTTTTCTCAGTATGAAGAACAATAAATTCGTTTTAAAATTCTTTTGATATTCGTTCATTAAATCTTCTTGAGAATACTAAATATATGAAAAAATGGAAATACTTCGGTTTGGTTGGTAAAGTAATATTAGGTATAAATATTTAACTGTTTTAGAACTAGTATAATTATGGTGGAGAAAATATAATTTGCTAACTACCCACAATGGCTCAGTACTAGTTTATTTGACTGCCGTGATTTTAGTGAAAAAGTTATAAAACTGACAGCACAGCAAACGCACATAAATATGTATACCACATCCCTGTCAGTTAGACTTGCCAATTAGCAGAACTTCGAGTATGTTTCGCGTGCAAGTGATTAGAAGTGTTTAAATAACTATACAAAATTTTGTGCCAAAAATGCCACTTTTTAGCCACAGCAACTCCTAGTTAGTTCCAAAAATTTTATTGCACTTGAGACAATGAAAAAGTATTTCTTTTACAAAATTACCTTTATTTAATTTGAATATATTTTAAAATGATTAAAATTTATTAAAAGAAAAAAGTGATTAAAATACAATTTTCCATTTTGGTCCAGTTTCTTTCGGAAGTCATATACACTAGTCCAATGTTGAATACCCGTACAGTTTTCGGGATTCATATTCTTTTTAGATTTCATACTGTTTATATGTGCATAGTTGGTTTATTACGTGCTTCAACACTCGTCTCCCTTTATTTGTTGCCATTTCAAGTTTTTAGCTTTTTATGTCAAAGTAAATTTTATGATGCACTCTCACAAATGGCATACAAACACATGTTAAGCAAAATACTCAGCCATAGAAACATTACATGAAATGCTTTCATAGACTTATAAAAGAATGTCGGCCATTATGCACATATGCGTCTACACATACAAGTATATGTATGTTTTAGAGACCAGAAACTGATGAAGAATAGTGTCTTTATATGAAACTAAATGATCACTTAAAAGCCACGCATTTATGTGGGTAATGACTTCAAAAAACACTACGTCCATGTGTGATGCTGTGTGATTGTATGTGAAAACCTGAAAAAAATAAATGCATCGACCATTTCCCTTATTTAATTTGTATATAGATGTGTGCGTCAGAAATGGTAAGTTAGATTTGATTTTTGTGCATCTTTCTTTAAAAGAGTTGATTGAAATCTTCACACAAAGCTCATACATTTTAGCTTTAACAAAAATGATTAATTTAAAATGAATAACGAATTTTATTTTGATTTTATTACGAAAGTTTGAGGGGGGATTAAAAAAATAAAAGGAAAGTATACAATTTATACGAGTAATACGATCTTAATTTAATACATCAATACCAAGCCACGAGAGGTTGGGCTTTTTTAGAGTTGAGGCTCCGCTACGAAACAAAAATTTATCAACTGATTTTTAAAAGTAAACTAAAAAATAAAATCCAAAGGCAAACAATACAAAATATCGAGAAATTTAAATTTAAACTTTCAGAAACTCTGTGCAAAAATGTCTTGATACTTTAATAGGCAAAAAGATGAAATGGTTTTTGATTAGAGTTGTATTCTAGAATCAAAGGATCCTGATCACAGTTTATAAAACGCCAATATAATGGTTTTGCTGACTGTCACACTAATATGAAATGAGACGTTCAGTTTAGAGTCCATAGTGATACCGAGTTCAATAAAACGATGAACCTATTCCAAATAATATCCATATACATATATATTTTGTATGTAACTGTTTGCGCGGCTCTTCGGGATAATCACAAAACTTAACATATTGATTTAGGTTCATGCAATTTACCTTACAATATGTAACCATGCTGTTTGTAGCAAGACACCGTCATTTACCATCATCCGCCTACATTAAAGTATTTGAAAATTTAGTCTCTGATAACAGAATCGAGCCTAGACTGCTACCTTGGTACACTCCTAAAGAAACTTAATTGCTATCTGCGAGTATTTTCAGTTGTGGTCGTCTTTTGTCATATCTAAGACTGTCTGGTTTACTTTTTGGGTTTGTAGTAGAAATCCAGGACGTGAGACTATGCGACGGGAAATTTCTCTCGCAATAAAGCGATATTCGCTCGTGTTGAGTAACATGTAGCACAATCCTGTTGAAACAACATATTGTGCAAGTCGCGTTCTTCAATTGTGGGGCTAAAAAAATCGGTCGGATTGATAGTGCCAGTCTAGCTGTTGTCGTTTTCACGTAATATCACACCTCCAGAGCAAATTACGCAGCCTCTCTTCACCTATTTGAGGATTGCTATAATTTTGCTTATATATCACCCTAATGCTAAAAGTGTCTCGTCGCTGAAGAAATTTTTTTCGAAAAACAGCCATTGCTCAAACACTCTGTCGTCGTAGGCGTATGTACGTAGTTTTTGCATGAGCTGGACTTAATATGGATGTAAAAATATCATTAACAGTAGCGATAGTTAATTTTTAAATTTAGCGAATTGCTTCGGTATTTGGACGATTATGTGTACCAAGCACCATTTTTGTAGCAAATGTTTTACAGGTGTCAAAATGCAGCCATGTACTTTTGAAACTACGATATACTAACCATACAAACCACAGAGCTGTTTTCGGAAATCAATGTTTTTGTGCTTGAAGTGAAGTTCATATCCAGTTGGCAGAGCTCTACATAACAGGTTAGCACCTTAAGCTAAAATATTAAATGCGATGATGGTGATACGACAAGGATACTTTTTTAACTGTCCGACTAAGAAGTACTCGTATATCTCCTTCACATTTATATCTCTTTCAAACTTAAAAAATTTACGCGAGATCAACCATAATTAATTAGGATATTCATACATATATATTTCACGCATTTATTACACCCTTGAGAAGCAATTTTTATGAGTTATTATTGTAAGAAAACATATTTCTTCTTTGTAGCAAACTTTTAAAAAATATTTCAATACATCACTCGAATATCAAAAAAAAAAAAAACTAAAAGTTTATCCTTTTTAACAAATAAAGGAAGAAGGAAAGCAAGCATTGGATGTATTGCAGAAAATTTCTTTATACACTTTTGGGTATTATAATACTTTTATTATTTAAAATGTTGAAATGAAATTAAGCTACAATATAATTTGATCACTTTCATTTTAATACAAAATAAAATTAAAAAATCCAAAAAATAAAGAAAACTTTAACTAACCAATAGAAACTTTCCTTATCAATGTCACATCTTCGGCATATTGTTGGCTTAAAAACTTGTTAAAGAGATACGACATACTGAATTCTTCATTCTTACCAACGTACATATGTATGTGCGTATGTATGTATGCATGTACTGAAGTTACTTGCCGTTACACACACCTGTCACTGTTCAAACAAACTTTTGCTTTCAAAATAATTAGGGAAAACATGCAAAGCATTTGAGTAGAATTCAAAAACTTTTCAAACTCAAGCGCAAATTTAAGAAGACTGCCAAACCCAAACTATTTGTATGTAAGCAATAAGAACAAAAATGTATACAAAATAAGAGCACATACTGCAATAGATATGTATGTATGGGGTAGTTAAGTAAAAGCAATAAACCACAATTGAAGCAGTTGCAAGTGAATTTGATAGAGAGTAAAGTGGCGGTGGGAAAAAAGCCAAGTAACCGAAAGCGTAAGCAAACAACTTGGAAGAAAAACCAGATGGAGGTTAGATACACATACATATTTATATCAACATATGCTTATGCATGTGTTTAGTATTTATGTGTTATTTGGAAAGAATATTCACTGCAACTTCAACTGCATTGAATTTGACAAGGAAAACCTTTTGAAAAGTTTTAGCTTACAATAGAGTTTGGACATTCGAGTGCGGATGCTGTCATATGCTTTGTTGCCCAGTTTTATACACATACGCATATATAATTTGCATACTACATGTAAAAAGGGATAACTCAAAACTTTGCAAAACTAAAATTTTTTACAATAAAAAATTTTCAAATTTTAAAATTTTTAAATAAAAATTTTTTGAATTTACAATTTTTTAAGATCAAAATGAAAATATTTCATAATGAATATATTTCAAAGTTAAATCGAATTTTTGTAACTAAAATTTTTCAAAATTAAAAGTTTTTGAAAATAACTAATCTTAAAATTAAATTTTTTCAAAATTAAAATTTTTCAAATCAAAAATTTTTCCTTTCATATATTCCAAAATTCTTTGAAGTTTCACTTAACAACAAAGCATCAAAGAAAGGGACACACAAATTATAAATGATTATAGTTTTTATTATATAATATTCTATTCAACTAAAATTTTAAAATCCTTCATTTGAAACCGCAGGACTATACAGTTTCCGACACTTTTTACAGTCTTTTTGAATTCATATTCAATTGTATTTGACATAAATTTTGATATGTTTTCTAATGCCAACACACACACTCTCACTTTTAACCGCAACCATTGGTGAACATCATCTAAACACAATCAAACACAGCAACATATGTCCTTTCACTCAAGCAAAATTTCATAAAAAATCATTAATCTCATGCTTTTGTATTTGTTTTATGGCAAAAATCAAAAATGGCATTATAATGAATGTAATCATTAACATAAATCTCTTTCATATATATTATTACTTAAATAAAAATAAATTGTACGTATGTATATCTTTTTAATCCACACAACCACCACCACCACAACTGCCACCATCGTCATCATCGCAAAAATTAAAAAAAAAAAATACAAATTCATATGCTGCATTAAAATTTTAATATACGTGAACAATAAAAAATTGAATCGTCAATATGAAAAAACAAAAACATTTGAAATCGTCGACCGAAACATCTTGTAGTTGCGGCGAAGGACGGGTTATGTCGCCAGATGCCAAGGGTTGTATGGATCGCAATGAATGTCTGGACCTGCCTTGTCTTAACGGTGCCACCTGCATCAATTTAGAGCCGCGTTTACGTTACCGTTGTATCTGTCCAGATGGCTTTTGGGGCGAGAACTGCGAGTTGGTGCAGGAAGGACAAACGCTGAAATTGAGCATGGGCGCCTTGGCGGCCATATTGGTTTGCCTTCTGATCATACTGAGTGAGCATCAAATAGTTAATAGGCAATCAACTAAATAAAAAAGAATTAAGAGAAAATGTAAAAAGTAAAATAGAAAATGGTTAACTATAATAAAAATTAAATCAATTATATCAAAACAAAACAAAATTAAACCATAAAACTAAATTAAAATAAATAAAGAATTAAATATGTATGTGAAAAAGTTAAATAAAACCAAAGTTGAAAATCAAGTAAAATCATATTACACTATTAATTAATTAAAAATTTTACCAAAATAAACCTAAATGAAATGAAATAAAATAAAACAAAATGAGGTAAAATTAAATAATACAAAATAAAGTAAGGTAAAAATATATAAAATAAAATAAAATAAAATAAAATAAAATAAAATAAAATAAAATAAAATAAAATAAAATAAAATAAAATAAAATAAAATAAAATAAAATAAAATAAAATAAAATAAAATAAAATAAAATAAAATAAAATAAAATAAAATAAAACAAAATAAAGTAAAATAAAATAAAATTAATTTAATTAATTAAATAAAAAACCATAAATAATATAAAATAAATGAAGCAATATTAAATAAAATCAAATGAATAAAATTTAATATATAAAATATAATAAGGTAAAAAAAAACTGAAATAAAATAGAACAAAATTAAATTAAATAAAATTAAAAGAAAAAAATTGAAACAAAATAAAATTAAATTATATGAATAAAAAAATTGTAATAAAATACATTAAAATGAAATGAAATAAAATAAAATATACTAAATTAAAATAAAATAAAAAAGTTAAATCAACAAAAATAAAGCTATTCAAATTAAAATGAAAATATGATTAGATAGAATATATATAATAAAACAAACCAAAAATTAAATTAAAAAATAAAATAAATAAAATAATATAAGATGTACAAAGAGCGGTGGCTACGCAACGCATAACGAGCAAAGTTGGAAGAAGACTAATCAAATCGAAATTAATGGAAATCGATTAATCGTGTAGTAGTTAGTAGTAGAGACCGGCTCCAGCGCCATTTAGTTCTGTCGTAGCTTCTTGCATGCAATAAATGCGCTAATTATATTTATGTTTGGCTTAGCCAAAGTATACTTTTTATATTTCTAATTTGAGTTATCTACTCCACCGAAAACAGGGAATAAAATAAATTTAATTTACAATTTTCTTGTTTCCGCACATCCATAAATATAAATGTTTACACATATGCAAAAAAAAAATTCAATATTTTTTGGTTTTAAATTGAAAAAAGATCATATATTTTTTCCATGCCAAATCTTTTGAAAACCTTTTTGTTGAACTCTTTATTTTGCCTGATTTGTAGCGCTGGTGGTAATGCTCTGTTGGTGTTGGTGCTAACTTTAAAACGGAAGTGTGTATATTTGGCCCAAACATCATTTTACATATACACACATATATTTTCGCATTTCGGATTCATACCTTATTATCTCTACATATCTAAGTACTTCAGTATATATACATGCGTATATGTAAATGTGTCACACATAGCTACTTTATTATCATTTATTACTTGCCTCCATTCATACAAAAATTATGCCATATCAGTTCCTTTGTCTCAGCATTTGCCCATTTTGTCCTTAGCTAATTTTAATTATTTACATATGTATATATGCTAAATATATGTAAGCATAAGTACTTATCTCATTTTATATCACTCTCTTTTCACTCATCTCAAATTCATACTCACTTTAGCTACTTTATAGCTCGCATGCCATTTTTTCAAGCGTTCGGCGCCTCGTACATACGAGTATCAACATGTAATTTTATGTATATGTATGTAATAGTCATTTCAAATTTTTTTGTCTCACATTTCAATTGAATATACGTGCTGTGTATTCTTGTATGTATATGTGTGTGTATGTGTGTGTGCAGCTTACTTTTGTCACATTTTCACCTTATCATGTTTACATGCCATAAATTCTTGCCACCTCATATTTACATAAATAATATGCACATTTTTTCCATTCTTAAAATTAAATATTTACAATTTCCATTAGCCATATTATATTTATAAAACAACAGAAATACCTTCATACGTCCCACATACGCATTTACCTTCATAACATGTAGTAGTACATATGTATGAAGGTACGATATTTGCATAGTGCGTATGACATTTTTTAACTACATTTTCTACCATGCATAGTTAAATGTTACAGTTAAAAAAATATTCATACATAAAAAGCTCGTAGAATTCACAGTAACAAGTCTTTTTGTACTCATTTTTTCCTACATCGACATTCTTTGTCCTCTCTATGTGGTTAAATATCAACACCTAATATGCTAAAGTTAAAAAGTATATGTGTGTGTTTGAGAGCCTGTTAGTTTTCTGCTTTGTGTATGTGTGTGTTTTTATAGAATCTCCATGAAATGTACTGTACAATAATACTGTATATTTTATCAGTTTATAAATATTATAGTGTTTGGTGAAAACACCAACTGGTGATTATTCCATTGGCAATGTTGATTTAATAAATGTTTATAAATGTAAGTTAAATAGAAAACTGAAAGTAAATACAAACAAAAATTATATTATTTTCAATAACTACAGCTTTAATTAGCAACTAAAATAATGATAAAATTTTAAATTTTCTTCTTAATTATTTGGAAAAGAAATTCATTTGCGGTATGATGTGATTTTTTGTTCCAAATATTTGGCAATTAGCTGCGGTATTCGCGAAATTTATACCCAAATTAACAAAAAAAAGTAGCCAATTAATAAAACTAGGTGTGAATCGACTTGCTGGGTGTAAAAATTTTATAAAAATGCTCATTTTTCTATAGCTCACATAAAAAATTCAGCTACCGATTGATAACTAAAAATCCATTTACTTCTACCATCCAATTACAGATACATATCTGTTAATGAATCGCTGCTCCCACTCAAATATAATAACTGGTTGATATAAAGTTAGGTAAAAATATTATTAAAAACAAATATCAAAACATATATTCAAGAAAGTCTTCTATATTTCAAGCCCAAGTGTTGGTTATTAGTCTCGTATTGTTTTTCGAGTCCCTTTACAGCCCCAATTTCAAAAAATGATCAAACACAATTCCAGATTTTTTATACTGCATTTGAAAGTAAAGCATTTAAAAGATATATTTCAAGTCACTACTTTTTAGTAAACAAAAACCTGGGAAAAAATGTCATAATCGCAGTTTTGACGTCCTGGTTGTCAATAACACAGTTATCTCAATTTCTTACTTTCTAGTATTGTACAAGTTTCTCTGAAGCTTCCATAATTGAGTCGCTTCATCCTTCTAGGTACTATATATTATTATTTTTTTTTCAATTTTTGTAATGTCGTGATGAAAAGATGCTTTGTGAGGAAGCATTAAATTTTACTGTAGAACGTTCTTTTCACTAATGTTAACTTCTTTAAGGTCGACATGTTTTGATCCAGTGTGTTGTTCGATTTTCGAACGATTCTTCTATTCCTGGATTTAAAATATTTCGACTTATAAATACATCCCGAGAGAAACCTTTTCGAAACCAATTTAAAAATTCTTGTCACAACTTTATAGTAAAAAATAATGTAATTTCGAGTCCATTCGATTACTTGAAATTTTTTTGACCATGCGGAATAATATCGTATTATTTCTTTTAATAAGATTAGAAAATAAATTTCCTGTATTCTGAGTGCCGGTGACTCATTTATGCAAAACCGTTTGCTGAATTTTTCCTTTACCCATCATATTGAGAACATTAACATTAAACTATGAAGGTGAAGCAAGAGCTCCGATGAGAATCATATTGAAAAGTACGAGAATGAACACATTCATTTACGACAAATATTAATCCAGATTGCGCCAGAAAAGAAATATCCGTATTATAAGAAACAATACATCATTCAAAAGATCGTCTCGCAAAATTTTTGCCAGCTTTGATTGGAATGGAATTTTCAAACACTTTTTGTTCCATATATATGATATGTAAAATTGGTGCTTTTTGTAGCCACTGAAGCGATTTTCGGCTGAATTTATCGTCCAATGGATGGTTTTGCAAATGGAGGGACCTTCAGTTTATAATAAGCCGCCTCCGAACGGCTGATGGTTTTTTATAAGGAGCAGTTTTTTCGTGTCATAAATATACACGTACGCGGAGGGGTTGGAATTCCCTGCCGAGAAAAATTTAACTTATTTTTTTGAGTAATTTTCTATACCGCGGTCGCATATTGCGCGGTATATCTGCCATAATTTGACGAATATTGGTTTTAAAGTACTCAAGAGTTACTGGTTTATCCGCAAGCGCACGGGCTTTCGCGTAGCCCTACTAAAATATAGTCCGGACCGAAGGTTTCATTCACATTGAAGCCAGCTTCGCTCCTGTTGTTCTACATATTCTACTAGTCGTGTTCTTCAATAGCAGGACAAAAAATTTCAGTTTCCATACGAATTTTACGCTTCGAATTGACAATAACAGTCTCGCCGTTGCCATTTTCAAAGAAGTCAGCTCCAATCACATTTCTAGACCTGAGAAGATATCAGGCAGTAAATTTTTCTCTGTTTTTGGTATAAAGGCCTCTTTTCAATTATTCCTTAAGCCTAAAATGCGACAAGTTTGGTCATTCATGAATACCCGTGAAAGAAATGCATCTCCCCGCTGAAGTATATTTTGTTCGAAAAATAGCCCTCCATTGATTGTTTTTCAAGCAGCTGAGATAAAGCTATTGAAAATATGGAGAAGTTGACACATTCGAACTTTCGGCTAGAGCTCTGAGGTGGGTTTAGAGAAAAACAATGATACACTTGCCTTACAATACACCATAATTTGTTCTTAAAGCACGAAATGTGGCGACATTTGGATTACCATTTTTTGTAGTATCTTTTTAAAATATTGGGCGTTGTGTGCTTGTTCTGCTATCCATTTTGATAAATGCCTGACTTTTACTAAAACGAAACATGTGCCGTTTGACAGTGGAGTTTGGCAGGTGCCCAAGTACAGCCCATTTTGAATTTTCATACTTTTACCGCGAAATG